TTTACCTTAAAAAATTTTTAAAGGAAAAATTACCAAAAATTGAGAAGACAGAGAGAGAGAGAAAGGATAGAGGGGCACCCTACCACTCGAGACTGGGGGCTGGAGGCTGAATTATAGGTAATAAATATATAGTTATAAAAAACTGGGGCTGGCAGGTGGCGTGATGGTTAAAGGTGCTGGATTCCCACATAGCTGACCATGGTTCAAGTCCTAGATTTGGTGGCTTGCTTTCTTGCTTTCCCTTTCTTTCTCTCTGGTCAAATTTAAAAATAATAATAATAAGTGGAATTAAATAAATAAATTAAATAAATAAATAAATCTTTCTTTAAAAAAAATGGTTGTTTTTTTTTTTTTTGGAGAGATTTTCGCTATAGGGCACGTGTGCTCGCCAGACAGAGAGAGACATAGAGACAGAAAGCGAGAAATCACCCCCTGGAGGGATGGTCATGCCGCAATCCCTTCTCCTCCATTCTCCTCTCAGGATCTTGGGCATGCACGCACACGTGCCCGGCGTGAGTTTTAAGCCACCGGGTCCGGGACGTGAACCGCGGTCAACTACGTGGGAGTCCAGCAACATAGCCATTACGCTAACTGCTGGTTTCCCCCCAAAAATGTATTTTTAAGACTGCCACCAAATCGCCAAATCGTTACATTAATGACATCATGCTTTTTTTTTTTTTTACACTTAATCACTATATCTTTACAGCATACAAAATGAATTTTGCCGTCTTGAATACACTGCATGTCAGTACGGTCAAAGATATTATCACACACATTATTATCAGCAATTTTCCATTTTTGTGTCCATTAAATGTTTGCTTTGTTTTCCACCTTGATTTCCTCTCCCCTCTCCATTGCCCATCCTTCTCCTGAACTGTCTTTTGTTTGTTGTTATTATTATTATTTTATTTATTTATTTATTTATTTATTTATTTATTTATTTATTTATTTATTTTTTGGAGAGGTTTTTGCTATAGGGTGCCACAAAGACAGAGAGATAGAAAGCAAGAAATCACCCCCAGAGGGGATGGCCATGCCACAGTCCCTTCTCCTCTCAGGATCTTGGGCACGCATGCACACGCACCCAGCGTGAGTTTAAGCCACCAGGTCTGGGACGCAAACCACGGTTGACTACGTGGGAGTCCAGCGACATAGCCATTACGCTACCTGCTGGTCCCCCCGTTATTATTATTATTAAATGTCAAGAGAAGCACTTTTAGCTTTAGTGACTCAAAAATGATAAGAAAAATTTGCTTAAGACTTAAAGCCAGGAAAAAAGATTAGGATTCTATTCAAACAGGTAGATTCTAAAAACTCAAAAAGCAAATATGGACAGAGCTAAAATCTAATAACAAGTTTTCTTCTGAAACATTTTTTCTCTCTCTCCATTCCCCCTATTACCAAGGAGAAGCATAAATTAACTAATTTGCAAAAAAATAAGTTTAATCTCAATTTGGTCTGTTATTTGCACAAAGCCCAATAAGAATACTAATTGATTTAATTGGCTTTGCTGGAACCTTTTATAAAGAACTACAGATTAGATTCTTTAAAAAGCCTCCCAAGGATACTGAGCCAAGTCAGGAATTCACCATCTTACTGTGCCTTTTAAGTACCTGTACTTGGAAGTTGGGGCCTATTAGGAAGTGACATTCTCTATTTACCTGCCAGGCAGAACTGTTTATGGTACCAGGCAATCTTTCCAAGAGCTTCTGTTGACTTTCTTGAAATCAACCTTACTTAGTTCCTTAGCTTTCTGGTTAAATCTTCAGATAGGACATTCCAGTCAAAACCTTGGCAATAACCAGTGTTTTCGATTTCTGATGCAAGACAATAGTTATTGTTGAACTTATGCAAATAATCATACTGCCACAAAATAAGAATATTCACACATTGTTTCCAATTCCAGAGAGGTCAGGAAGGGAGAAAAGTTTGTTTTAATTCCATTTCCAAAAAAAGAAATTAACAAATTGCTGAAATCTATCAACAACTCAAAGGAAAACAAAAATCCTTAAATCTGGAAAACAAAGCATAGAAGGAAATCAGTAATGTTTTAGTCCAATGTCATAAAATTCTGTTTCACCAGTTTAGTCTCATGTGATTTCTCTGGCTCTTCTGTTGACGTTGTAGTGTTACTGTGGTCCAGTCTTTGTATTTAAATACTAGAAGTTCAGAAATAAGAGCTTAAAGTTACCAAAACCTATATTCAAGAGTACTTACCAGAGTCTTCCTCTGGTAAAAGAGGCAATTTTTAGATTGTAGCTTATTACCAAATGTTTTAGAAAGCGCATTAGAATAAAGCGATTAACTGTGGATAAGAAAGCTTAAAAGTGGCCATGATTCAAGATCTGATTTTACCATAACCCAAAATTGATAAATTTGATCATTTCTGTGACAAGCTGCATTAGAACTATTTAACATTACAAGTATGACTAATAACATACTCTTATATAACAGATATTTAAGAATCTCACACAGTTTTGGAATACCCATTGACACAAATTTGTATACACAGAGAGCTAAACACCATTTCATGTTTTAGAATGTTTTCTCATATAATTTCCTAACGATTAGTGTGTTACAGTCTATCTCTCATTTTAGATTTAGTAGTCTTTCCTATACGTATTTGGGTACTCCTGTGTTGAGTGTATAGATATTTATAAGTGTTATATCTTCTTGATGAATTAACCCTTTTACTGCTATGTAATGCCCTTCTTTGTCTCTTCTTACAGGTTTTGTCTTAAAGTTTATTCTGTCTGAAAATAGTATTGCACCTTCAGCCCTTTTTTGGTTTTCATTTGCATGGAATACCTTTTTCCACCCCTTCACTTTTAGTCTATGCATATCTTTATCCATGAGGTGCATTTCCTATAGGCAACAGATACAGAGTTTTTGTTTTTTAATCCATTCGGCCAGTCTGCATCTCCTGATTGGAGAATTTAACCCATTAACATTCAAAGTTATCATTGATATCTCCAGACTTGACCCTACCACTGTGTTAGCCATTTTCTTGGTTGTTATTCTCTTGTTTCTTTCTGTCTCTCTTTGGTTTCCCTGGTACAGCACTCCCTTCAGAACTTCTTTTTTTTTTTTTAATAATTATTTATTTTATTTATTCATTTATTTTTTAGTTTGAGCAGAGAGAGACAGAGGGTGATAATGAGAGAGAGAGAGAGGAAGTGAGAAAGCAAGCCACCAGATTCAGGACTTGAACCCTGGTTGGCCATGTGGGAGTGTCCAGCGCCTTAACCACCACGCCACCTGCTGGTCCCTCTTCAGAACTTCTTGAAGAGCTGGTCTGGTTTTGGTAAATTCTTTCAGGTTTTGCTTATCTGAGAATATTTTTTATCTTTTCTTTCCATTTGAAGGATAATCTTGCCAGGTATGGTAATCTTTGTTGAAATTATTTTTCTTTCAACACATTGAATATATCTTCCCATTCTTTCCTTGCTTGGATTGTTTCCACCAAGAGGTCTGATTTTAGCCTGATGAGATAACCTTTGTAAGTAACTTGACATTTCTTTCTTGCCATTTTCAGTATCTTGTCTTTATCTATGATTTTGATCATTCTGGGTATGATGTGCCAGGGAGAGAATCTTCCTGTGTTGATTCTATTTGGGATCCTCTGTACTTCTTGGGTTTGGATATTTTATTGCTTCTCTAGGTTTGGGAAGTTTTCTCCAAGTATTTCATGGAATAGACCTTCTATGCCCTTGTCCATTTCTTCACCTTCTGGAATACCTATTCGAATATTTGGGCGTTTCATAGTATCTAGTTTTCTCATATATTGTCCTCATTTTTTAAGTTATTTTTTCATCATTTTTGGTAGTTTTGTCTAAGTCAAGGGACTGGACCATGCAAAGATTCTGTCTTCTGCAAGGCCCAGTCTATTATTAATATTTTGAGGGAGGTCTTGATTTCCTTTATTACTGTTTTCATCTCTAGGAATTCTGATGTTTTTTTTAATGGTGTCTATCTCCTCCTTCAAATCCTGGAAAGACTTCCTTATCTCTGTCATCATGAATATTCTGAGCTATATTTCTGACATTCCTTCAGATTCCTTTGTGCTGCCCATGGTTGAAGAAAAGTTGCTCTGTTCCATTGAGGAAGAGGTATTTCTTTGGTTTCCCATACTTTTTGTGCCTCTGCGCTGGTTTCTAGTCATCTGGTGGATTATACACTACTACCTGCTTTTCTGTTGTCGATTCTATAGTGTCGGGGGTGGGAAGGAGAAGAACTCTACTTCTCAGATGTGTTCTTGGTAGAAGGCCTTATCTTCCACTCAGAGTGTGTGTATATAGCCACTTTGAGGTGTTACTTCCTTTCCCAGTCTCTTGAGACCAGGTGCACCTGGGGCTAACCTGGAAGTTTTCAAACAGAAGAGGGAAAAGGAATTGTGAGGTGTGTTATACCATGTGGTTCAAAAAACTATGAAGTCTCAGAATATTCCTGGGACAAGTTGGAAGCAGGAAGAAGCCTGGAACGGTCTTCTGCTCACCTTTTCTCACCAACTGCCACTTTTCCCTATTCGGCTGCAGCATAGGCTCTGGGGAAAATGGCGGTGGATGAATATACCTGGGATGAGTTGGGAGGCAGGAGGAAGCTTGGAACGGTCTCCTGATCCTCATCCCTCACCAATTGCTGCTTAGGATTATGTTTATTTAATTTTTTTTTTTGGAGAAGTTTTTGCTATAGGGCACGTGCGCTCGCCAGACAGAGAGAGAGACAGACAGAAAGCGAGAAATCACCCCCCAGGGAGGATGGCCACGCCGCAATCCCTTCTCCTCCATTCTCCTCGCGGGATCTTGGACACGCACGCACACGCGCCCGGCGTGAGTTTAAGTCACCGGGTCCGGGACTCGAACCGCAGTTGACTATGTGGGAGTCCAGCGACATAGCCATTACGCTAACTGCTGGTCCCAGGATTATGTTTTGTATATGAAGTGGAAAAGGGTAGAGTTTTACAAGCATCATCTAAGATTTCATTTTACTTTTTCTCATAGTTGGTATATGAATTCTTCTTGAGATTTTTGGAGAGTCCTGATTTTCAGCCTAGCATTGCAAAGCGATACATTGACCAGAAATTTGTACAACAGGTAAGCAACTCTTATTTCTTAGATTTTCTTATATTCATCTTAGCAGTTGATTTATTAACTTGTGATTAAAATTGAGTAATCTTTCAAAACTTCAGTGGTTTATTTCAATTTGACAGCCCTTAGCATTCTTGCCAAACAATTGGGATAAAAATGAAAAGCTTTGAGAATACAACAGGGTTTTTCTGTCTTGTCTTGTTTTTATTTTTGTTTATTTGGGTTTTTGGGGGGAGATTTTTGTTATAGGCTGCTTATGCTCACAGGAAAGAGAAAGTGAGAAATCACCCCTTGAGGTGATGACTATCTCGCAATCCCTTTTCCTCCATTATCCTGCTGGGATTTGGGGGTATGTATGCATATGTGCCCAGCGTGAGTTTCGAGTCACCAGGTCTTGGAATTGAACAATTAGCCACGTGGGAGTCCAGTGTAGTACCTTAACCACTATGCCACCTGCTCTTTTTTTCTTTTTTTAATGAAAGAAAGAGAGGTAGTTTTTGTTTTGTTTTGTTTTTAATGATAGTACTTGTGTGTGCATGAGCGAGACAGAGAGAGAAAAGCATTCTTGCCATAGGGTGGGCGCCACCACCCCCGAGAGAAAAGCATTCTTGACAGACTCTTGTTATGCTGATCCTCTTTCCCCAGCCCTGCAGCTCTCCTTGGCGCCCAGAATCTTGGGCACCAAGCTATGCTCTACACATTTGCAGGCCAGCCAGGGATCAGAACCCACAGTTGGCCATGTGGCTTCTAGCACTGTAGTCCAACATGTAGTCCAACACACTGTGTCACATAGGCTGAGCTGAGAGAGTTATTTTTGACAGGGTGTAAACCTATTGTGATTCTCTACCTCAGCCTTCCAGTCAGCTATGATTACAAGCACACACTACCAAACCCAGTTCCCAGTGTGGGAACTGAATCCAAGCCTCCCAAGTAGCCCTACTTTTTATGCCACTGTGACTGGGTCTATAGGAGTGTTTCTGGCTTTTTTTTTTTTTTTTTTTTTAATTGCATGAGGGGAATGCGCACTTGCCAGAGAAATAGAGAATGCATCCTCTAAAAGGAACATAGTCACACCACAGTCATTTTACCTCGATTTCTTCATCCTTTCTGGATCTCGGGGTATGCACACACACATACCCAGCATGTTTTCAAGCCACTGGGGCTTGACCATGTGGATCTGGCTCCCTATGCACAGAGTTTAATCACTGTTCATGGTGCTATCTTCCACGAGAGTATTTTTTAATCAAGGATTGCGCATTTATGAAGTTAATCATAGATTGACCCTAAATTCTCAGTTATTTTATTAAGACCACAAAAGCAAGCTTTTCTACAGTATATGAGAAAATTTGGTATGACCATGGAATCTAAGGGCAAAACTTTTGTTTTAAATTTTAAAGTCTTTGCCCTTGAACTTTTGACATGTACCTTAAGCATTATGGCTTTGAAATGACAGAAAAGGAAAGAAAGGAAATGGAGTCATTGCTAGTTTAGGCTTTAGACTCACTGCCTGTCATAAGATTACCTTTCTCCTTCTTCCTACCTTAGATATCCTAGCAACTTAGTTCCTAAACCATAGATAAAATGAGATCCTTCAGGGAAAAAAAAAGGTAGAGTTAAACATATGTGATACCTTCTTTTCTTTTCTTTTCTTTTTTCCCTTTCTTTTTATAAATTAGTTACTAGCTGTTTTGGGTACCTGCAAACTCACAATTAATTTCTAAGAACATTCAAATTTTATTTATTTTTAAAATCTTTTCAACAACTTGAAGTCCTCTCTTTTTTTTTTTTTGGAGAGATTTTCACTGTTGGGCGCGTGAGCTCGCCAGACAGACAGAGAGAGACATAGAGACAGAAAGCGAGAAATCACCCCCCAGGGGGGATGGTCACGCCGCAATCCCTTCTCCTCCATTCTCCTCTCGGGATCTTGGGCACGCACGCACATGCGCCCGGCGTGAGTTTTAAGCCACCGGGTCCGGGACACGAACTGCAGTCGACTATGTGGGAGTCCAGCGACATAGCCATTACGCTAACTGCTGGTTCCTTTGAAGTCCTCTCTTTAACTGTGATAATTTGCTGGTCTTGACAGCAGCATGGTGGTTAAGGCAGCGGAATACAGTATGGCCAACTACAAAGTTCAAGTCCCAGACGCAGTGGCTTGGAAAACACACTGGGTACATATTTGTGCATGGCCAGAATCTTGAGAGAATGGAGAAGAGATTGTGGTGTAGCCACCCCCCAACCCCAGGTGCTACTTTCTCACTCTCACTCTTTTTCTCTGGCAAGTGCACGTGCCCTATAACAAATTAAAAAAAAAAAAAAAAAAGATAATTGGCTGACTTTATCCAAAATTGTGAAGTAGACCAGACCTTTCTAGGTTCATTTTTATCTTTTGAAATACCTACCAGAATGTAAGGACCCCTCTTAGGAATTTGAAACTGAGGCCAGGATTAAAATCATTATAATTTCCAAGACCAGCAGATGGTGTAATGGTTACTTTGCTGGACTCCCCTGTAGTCAACTGCAGTTCAAGTCCTGGACCTGGCAACTCAGATTCATGCCAGGCACATGTGCATGCATGCCCAAAATCCTGAGAGGAGAATAGAAGAGAAGGGATTGCAGTGTGGCCATTCCTCTTGGTGGGTGATTTCTCACTTTCTGTCTTTCTGTCTGTCTCTGTCTATCTGGCAAGTACACATACCCTATAGCAAAAATCTCTTAAAAAAAAAAAAGTCATTATAATTTCATTTTCCAACCTTAAGACTACATTTTTATGTCCCTGTGATAAAGATTCTATAAACGTGAGTTCCAGAGCTGGCCCCTGTAGTATAGTGGTTGGGTGCTATGCATTGGGAACTTGACTCCATACAGCTAACAGGTTCAACTCCCAGCCCTGGTGGCTCAGAAACATGTCAGGCACATGTGTCTACCTGCCCCAAATCCTGAAAGAATGGAGAAATAAAGAAGAGATTGTGGCATATCCCAAGGCCCATGATGAGTTCTTTCTCTCATGCTCGCTCTCTCTGGTGAGCACACTCATCCTCTAGCAAATGGGGGTAAAATGAATTCCAAATATTTAGAGCTCATTTTTGATCTTTCCTGACTACTCCCAATCTCATAGTTGCGGTGAAGTATTGATAAATGAAGAACATTACTTCAAACATTCAAGTAGCTCTTCATAAACTATAAATAATCAGATACACCTCTGCAGATAGATGGGCAAGACTTCTTTTCTTTTCCATTTTTTAGAATTATTTAATTTTATGTATTCTTTAGTTTGACCAGAGAGAGAGAGAGAAGAAGTTGCCAGGTCCAAGATTTGAACTGTGGTCAGCCATGTGGGAGTTCAGCACCTTAACCACTATGCCACCTACCAGCCCCACCCATTTTCTTCTATTTACTTTGAATGCCTCAATTATCTGAAAAGCCCAATAACTTGTTTTCTGCAATTGATATGAATGTGTTTTTATAGGTCACATCTCTGGTATCTTTAGAGTGTTGCTTCAATAAATAGCATGTATGAGACTGCTCAGTTTTTATATTTTGAAATGATTTGGTAGATGGTAAGGTTTAAAACATAGAAGTACAAGAGGAGTGTGGAATATTCATTATCTTAAGAGAAGAAAACAATTTACATAATTCTAGTTTATGTTCAGAGAATTTCAAAAGAAGGAAACTAAAATTTATCGAATGCTTTTTACGTGCTAGGCACTGTCTTTATGTCTTTTTCTATAAAGCGTTCAACCATGTCCAATGTCAAACAGTGGGTAGGTGATAAAACAGAATTTCACCTGAACTCTCTGACAGCGATTGTACTGTTTCTTTAAAAATAAGAATTGGTTTCATACTTCATTAATCGATGGGAAAAAAAACAGGCATAAAGGATATGAGTTACTCTTAAAAGGATTAGATATTACTATCATAGCCAGAGTAAGAAACATGATTTGGGGTGAGCAGGTGGAGCAGAGATTAAGGTGGCTATCCCATATGGCTGACTTCATGGTTAGAATCCTATATTGGAGGCTTAGAAAGACATCATGTGTGTGCATACCCAAAATTCCTAGAGGAGAATGAAGGAAAAGGGATTCCAGTGTGACCACCTGTAGGGGGTGATTTCTCACTTCCCCTTTCTATCTTTCGCTGTTTCTCTCCAGTGACCACACACACCCTATAGCAAAAATAAAGAGGTTTTTTGTTTGTTTGTTTGTTTGTTTTTTAGAAAGCACCTCCTGTGCTTTCTTTTAAAAAATCCCTCCTTCATTTTTCCCTCCTTTGGGGATTTTGGGTATGCATACACATGTGTGCATGCCATAGTGTTCTTGAACCGTATAGTTGGCCATGTGGGATCCAGCTGTCTTAACCACTGCACCACAGGCAGGCCCAGAAACATAATCTCCTGATTATTAGTTTTGTGTGTGTTTCATTATATGAACCTTGTATTGGGTCATCAGAAAAGTTATGATGAATTTTTGCACAGAAAAACATCTCATGACTTTACTGACAACCCAATATTTCTAAATAGAAATTATTTATTTAGAAAATAGATTTCTTTAAATAGATTTGAAATTTAGCTAACAGCTGTTCTCTTGTTTAATATTTTCTCCCTGAAGATCAACTTGTATTAAATTATATTTGTTCTTAATGTAGACAAAATGACCATAACAATTAAGGACTGACCTCTCTGATTCATTTAAAAGCATATAACTAAACCCTACATCAGAAACTTGAATTTTAGTGTCTTATATGAATAGTTTAACCAATTTTTATTTATTTATTTTGGAGAGATTTTTGCTATAGGGCATATGCACTTTGCCAGAGATACAGGAAGCGAGAAATCACCCCCTGGGGGGATGATGTCAACACCACAATCCTTTCTCCATTCTCCTCTTGGGATTTTGGGCATACAGTGTGCACGTGCCCAGCATGAGTTTCAAGCCACCAAGTCTGGGACTTGAACAGCGGTCAGCCATTTGAGAATCCAACAATGTAACTATTACGACATCTGCTGTTCCCATAACTATTTTTAAGTAGAATAATTTGAATTAGATTTACTACATATATTAACGTAAATTTTCATATTCTATATTTTTTGCTGGACCGTTAGTACCTTAACAAGCTAGCAAACAAAGAATGCAAACTATACATTGTTTTTCGGGAGATCTGTAAATAAGATATAAGTCATCACTGCCCTCAAAATAAATCCACCCCAGTTTGAGATGCACATGTAAACAGTTAACGTATAATTCAAGACAATAAGAACTTCAGAACCAGCTCAGGCCTGGCGATTAAGGGAACTGGATCCCATGTGGCTGACTCCAGTTTGAATCCCAGCCCTAGCAGCTTAAAAAACATGCAGCATGCTTGTGTGTCTGTGGCCCAGATCCTTAACAGGATGAAGAAATGGAGGAAAAGGGATTGCAGTGTGACCACAGCCGATTGGGGGTGCTTTCTTCCTCTGTCTGTCCCTCCCTCTCTGGCCAGCTCTTGTGCCTTCTAGCTTTAGGAAAAAAGAAAATAGTAAGAACTCCTTATGAAGTTTAGAATTTGCTATTGTTACTGTAATTATGAATACAATGCCAGAGTTCAAAACATAAAATGCCTTGGTGACTTTATAGAAATTTTTATTCTATTAAGAGATTATTTTATATTTATTTTCTCCTTGGAAAATTGAATATTTCATTTGAAATACAGTATTTCTCTTTCTCTCTCTCTCGCTCTTTCTCTCCCTCCCTCTCTCCCTTTCCTTCCCTTCCTCCTAACCTCCCTCTCTCCCAGGTGAGCACATGTGTCCTATGGCAGAAACCTAAAAAAAAATTCCTTACAGTTTTAAAATGGAAATTTGAACTTTTGACTATGGATCTTTTTTTTTTTAGAGGGATTTTTTGCTATAGGGCGCACGTGCTCACCGGAGAGAGAGACAGAAAGTAAGAAATTACCCTCCAGGAAGAATGATCACGCTGCATATCCCTTCTCCTACTTTTTCTTCTTGGGATTTTGGGCATGTACTACGCACACATTCCCTGTGTGAGTTTTAAGCTGCCAGGTCCAGGACTCGAATTGCGGTTGACTATGTAGGAGTCTAGTGATATAACCATGACACTATCTTCTGGTCCCAACTATAAATTTTTCTAAGGTTCTTATTCAGGGCTTTGCTGAAGAATTATGTAGAGGTATAGGAGAGTGGTGATGGGGCCAATATGAACTAGTTTAAAGTTATTCAGCCCTTTGATATGCTGACTTTAAATACAAACATATGACCTCACTTTTTGTTTTGAATTATTTTCTTTAAATTTATTTATTTACTTATTTTAATTAGACCAGAGAGGGACAGGACAAGAGAGAGAGAAAAAGTGAGAAAACAAGCTTCCAGGTATGGGACTCATACTACGTTCGGCCATGTGGGCATCCAGCACCCTTAACCACCACGCCACCTGCCAGCCCCTGACCTCACCTTTTTTTTTCAGTGTTATTTCTATATGATTTCCACTCTATTATTACATATGCCCATATTTTACCCTAATATATGATTATTAATTTTTGAGTTAGTGGCATAGTAATCCTTTTGAATTTTTTAATTATAAATCACACAAAAACAGAGGTTTATAAAAACCTTTCTAGTAAACTTAAGTTGCCGGGAAAGTCATGGTGTATTTTTGTGTTTTTCTAGGCAAAAATATGTCATGACTTTCCAGACAATCTAATAGAATTACGCATTTACACACACACACATAGAAATAATATCCTTTACATTTCTTTCTTTTATGAGTAAGAAGAAGAGAGATAAGTACCCTTAGTGAGGTGAGTGGACAGGAAGAAAGGAGGGAAATAAGCATCATTAATAGAGTCCCATGCCACTATCTATTTCCTCACTACTCCCAGTCTTCCTAGCCAATCAGGATCACTCACATTTCCACCTGGCATATACAGGTTGACTGCAGAACTGAACCCATGATCTCAGCATTGCTGAGCAGTACATTACGGCCATGCCACATAGCTGACCCAGCTCATGTGTATTTTTTTAATTTCATTTATTTGATGACTATGATTTAAAAGCTTAAAGTTTTGTATATATTTTTTTTCTTTCTAAAAATTTGTTATAAGGCATGTGTGCTCACCAGAGAGCTAGCAGAAGAAAATGAGAAAGCATCCCATGGAGGGGATGGCCACACTGAATCCCTTCGCCTCCATCATTCTCTCAGTATTTTGGAAAGCACACATACTCATCTCATGTGCTTTTTTTTTTTTTTTTTTTTTTTGAGAGAGATTTTCACTATAGGGCGCATGCACTCGCCAGACAGACAGAGAGAGACATTAGAGACAGAAAGCGAGAAATCACCCCCCAGGGGGGATGGTCACGCCGCAATCCCTTCTCCTCCATTCTCCTCTCGGGATCTTGGGCACGCACGCACACGCGCCCGGCGTGAGTTTTAAGCCACCGGGTCTGGGATGCGAACCGTGGTTGACTACGTGGTAGTCCAGCGACATAGCCATTACGCTAACTGCTGGTTCCCATCATCTCATGTGCTTTTCAAGTCACTGGGTCTACAACTCAAACTTGCACAGTCTGTCACATGGGTTCATTGACTTAACCACCAAGCCAGCAGCTGGCCCAAAATTTCACATAGTGTTTTGATTTACTTTTAAGAAGCCTTAAATATTTCACAAATTTTAACACTAAAATTGTGAGTTATGTTTAGTCAAGCGTAAGACTGAATTTTAAAATCAATGGCAAGGTAAGGAAAAAAATCCAATTTTTGAAGTGTTTATTTTATTTATTGTGTCATTTTAAAAACTTAAATAAGTGAAAATACTCCCTAAGCTTTTCTTTATTTAGCTTCAGTATTTAGCAAGAATATAATCAATCTGATAAGGCAGAATGTTTTTTTTTTTAATTTAAGAAATTTTTAAGATTTCATGGATAACTTTAAAATCAAAATTAGAATAAAGTGAGGTTTTAGCTTGATTATTTTTAAAAAGTAATTTCTCAGATTTCTTTTAAAGCTCCTGGAGCTTTTTGATAGTGAAGATCCCAGAGAACGTGACTTCCTGAAGACTGTTCTGCATCGAATTTATGGGAAGTTTCTTGGATTAAGAGCATTTATCAGAAAACAAATTAACAACATTTTCCTCAGGTAAATTAGTCATATTTACATAGAGCACTTTTCCTTCCCCCCCATATATCTTCTTTTTATTCAGGTTCCTTTTAAGGTTAATTTTTACTCTCAGGAATGGCCATATGTAACTGATGATATTTGATAGTCATTTTTAGCCCATTTATGGATACGAATAAATTGCATCTGACTTTAGAAATTTGTAATGAACTTCTGATATAAGTGGATAGTAGTAAAGAGGATTATTTTTCATAGGTAATGCCAGTGTTATTCATGTTTAAGATATATTGAGAGAGAGAATTTATCTATTCATCTATTTCTTTGAGCTTTTTGTTTAAGAATTGTATGTATATACATATATATATATTTTTTTTTTTAAGAGAGATTTTTGCTATAGGGCGTGTGTGCTTGGCAGAGAGACAAGTAGAGACAGAAAGACAGAAAATAAGAAATCACCCCTCTAGTAGGGATGGCCACATTGCAATCCCTTCTCCTCCACTCTCCTCTCAGGATTTTTAGTGTAAGCGGCTGGTTCCAGAACTCAAACCAAGGTCGACTATGTGGGAGTCCAGCAACGTAACCATTACACTATCTGCTGGTCCCATGTATAAATACTCTTTAAACCAATAGCTCTTAGGAATACTTTGATTTTCTGATAAAGGTAATTTATATGAGGGTCTACCATTTGATTACTTTTTAAATATTAAGTAGCTGCTTCAAATCAGAAGATTTTATAGACATCTACATTTCAGGTTTATTTTGTTTTCAGTTATTGAAGATTTGGCAAAATTAAGCTAGCATTGCCCTGTTCCCACAATTAGAAATGACTAATAGCTGTCTCCTATAGAGAGCATCTTTTCTAGTTCTCTGTCATCACCCTTTAAGTTCACGTCAGTCATTTATTATTCTTGCCCTGTCTGTGGTCGTTAGAGTTTAAAGGTGATTCTAATCTTGAAAAGCTAGGCACCCTGTATAATTTGTGGCTTAAAGAAATTCTGTATAAAAATGGCTTTAGTGTGTATGAATCCTGTTGTCTTCAATTTTCCTATGAGGAAAGGCCTCCCTATTTTGAAAATAATTTGAGAAAATCCATTTTTCATATAATTAAGTAAAATAGAATACTACAAGTAAAATGATATTCTTTTATCTTCACATATGGCAAATTTTAGCCAAGGTATTTTATTTTAAGAATTATTTAACTTGGGAACCAGCAGTTAGCGTAATGGCTATGTCGCTGGACTCCCACGTAGTCGATCGTGGTTCGCGTCCTGGACCCGGTGGCTTAAAACTCACGCCGGGCGCGTGTGCGTGCGTGCCCAAGATCCCGAGAGGAGAATGGAGGAGAAGGGATTGCGGCGTGACCATCCCCCCTGGGGGATGATTTCTCGCTTTCTGTCTCTATGTCTCTCTCTGTTTGTCTGGCGAGCGCACGCGCCCTATAGCAAAAATCTCTCCAAAAAAAAAGAAAAGAATTATTTAACTTTATTTATTTAATTTGACTAGAGAGGTACAGAGAGAGAAAGAGGGAAAGTGAGAAACCAAGCCACCAGGTCTGGGACTCGAACCATGGCCATCCAAGTGGGAGTCCAGTGCCCTTAATCACCATGCCACCTGCCAGCCCCATAGCCAAGGTATTTTTGATTTAATAGAAAGTAGACCTTTTCTTATAAGATAGCTATGAATTAACTCACTTGAGACAAAATAGCTTATAAAATAGCTTATAAAAACCTAAAGTATGCTTATATATTTATTATAGCTGCCCTTTGGATTGATTTCTTCATCTTCCTGCCATTTAAGTTAGTTTTCTGATGTCTGATTTTTATCACATCTATCTTTATTTTAAATTCAGGTTTATATATGAAACAGAACATTTCAATGGCGTTGCTGAACTTCTTGAAATATTAGGAAGGTAGGTCAGGTTTTTGTTGTTCTTTTCAAGAATTAAATAACTTTTGAATGTTTTAAGGTATTAAAATCTTAGCTGAGATGGAATAATTATTTCATATTTTAGAGTTTATATATAAACCGCAAGACATAGCTTCTCAGCTGAATTCTTGTATAGGCTTTTTGGAGGTCAGCATATTAAAGGACTGCCATATAAGACATCTGTTTCAAAACAGGCTTTCTGTTTTGAAGCTGTTGCATGTTTTATGCCTAAATTTGCCAGACTGTGATAGAAATTTATAGGATCCTACTACGCTGAGATGAAATAAGCCATAGTGAATCTTAGATGAAGTTACAAGAATTCTTGTTCAGATGTTGATAGGGCCATTTCTAATCCATCTGTTCTTTTTAGATTTTCCAGTCTTTGGTTTCAGTTTACATGAACATTTTTGCCTTCCTTATTCACTACATAGCAGTGGAATGATTAAGGAAGGATTATTGTCTCCTTTATTAATGTTTAGAAAATTATTGTGGAGAGAACCACTTCTTAATTTCAGATTATCCAACAAAGTACGGGAACTACCTATTTACTTCAGAGAATATTGGATACTCTTTTTTTCTTTTTCTTTTTCTTTTTTTTTTTTTAAGAGAAAGATTTTTGCTATAGGATACATGCACTTGTAAGAGAGACAGAAAGCGAGAAATTAGCCCTCCAGTGGGATGGCCATGCCTCAATCCCTTCTCTTCCATTCTCCTCTCAAGATTTTGGGCATGTACCCACATGCATTATGGGGGTGTTCAAATTGGCAGTCCTGATTTTCTTTTGGGCTCATCGATTTAGAGGATCAGACTTCATAATCTTTTTGAAGTACTTTGAATATGAGTAGTCATAAAATACCAGGATTAAAGCAGAACACTGTTCCTTCTACTCACGGATATTATAATTTTTAGAAACAAAGTAGTAACTACTTAACACTTCCCCCTGCCTTTTTTTCCCTCCAGTATTATCAATGGCTTTGCATTGCCACTGAAAGCAGAACATAAACAATTTCTAATGAAGGTTCTTATTCCTATGCATACTGCAAAAGGATTGGCTTTGTTTCATGCTCAGGTAAGTTTCAAGAAATTTCAAATGAAAGAATGTTGTTTCAAAGATAAATATTTAGACAGAAATTGAGAAAAACCAAGGTGACAATGTAAAGTATAATTAGGTGATCTGCTTTATGAGTTGTCCAAAATAAATTTTATTCTAATTTTAAAATATTATGATATTTAGTTATCTAGTAAGATCAGTGCACTTTAAGTGTAAATATAGAAAATATAGTATCATGTTCCCTCATATTCTAGTCCAGGCCCTGACCTAATTAAAATTAAGTATGTGGGAACCAGCAGTTAGCGTAATGGCTATGTCACTGGACTCCCACATAGTCGACTGCGGTTCGCGTCCCGGACCCAGTGGCTTAAAACTCACACCGGGCGCTTGTGTGTGCATGCCCAAGATCCCGAGAGGAGAATGGGGAGGAGAAGGGATTGCGGTGTGACCATCCCCCCTGGGGGGTGATTTCTCGCTTTCTGTCTCTATGTCTCTGTCTGTCTGTTGAGCGCACGCGCCCTATAACGAAAACCTCTCAAAAAAAAAAATTAAGTATGTAACTTTGAATAAATCTCACTTATCTACAGAATGTTTCTTCCAGACATGATAACTGCTAGAGAGACTTTGCTTTCTTATATTAATATTTAGAGAATAATATCATATCAGCAGCATATATGTAGAAATATGAAAAGTTAAATTATTAGCACTCTTATTTCAGTTAACTTTGTCATCAGAAATTACTAATAAAAAATACTTTTTAAACAAGAAGTTACTTTCTGTGTTAAGTTACATAATTGTGGGTATATTCACAATTGTGAGTAATTTATATATAATAAACCAGTTAAAAGTTGTCAAAATGAGCTAGTCATTTTTGTTGGCCAAATATAAACAAATTCAGCATCACTAAATATTATTTCACTGACTAATATTTATAAACTATTTCTCTTTTAGCTAGCATACTGTGTTGTACAGTTTCTGGAGAAAGATACAACATTAACAGAACCAGTAAGTGTTTTATTTATTTTCATGTTTTTTGTCTATATTAATAGCATTTTCTTACACTTTTCTTTATAGACTTAATGAAGTCGTCAAATAGCAATAATAATGTACCTTACTCTAAAATCATTTAGATGATGGAACATGAAGTTAATCTTCAAAGAACAGGATTGAGAGGAGAGCGTGCTTGAGTTGCAAATGTGCTTTGAATAACCTAAATATAGAGTAATTAATATATAGTAGTAGAGATTTGTGATAATAGGATCAAATGACCACAGTGAAATTTTATATACATACCTTCATGGGTAATCTTTAAAAAATATATTATTAGTTTTTAATTTGACCAGAGAGAAAGGAAAAAATGAGAAAGTAAGCTTCCTGGTCCGGAATTCAAACTGAGTTCAGTCTGTGGGAGTCCAGTGCCTTAACCACGCCACCTGCTGGCCCCATTGAAATTATCTTCATTCACTTTTTAAAATTAAACATACTGTGAGGATCCCAAAACCATTCCCTTGAGTTTTGTTTTTAGAGATGAGATTTTCTCTCTTAATGATAAACCACATTGCAGGAAGTGAAAACATTTCCTTTCCTTTGGTAATTAAGATATAATCCTGGAAAACTGGTTGTTTATTTTATGGATCCAGCATCACATTTGTCTTTTAATTCTATAGCTATTTGCTTATTATAAATGAAAATTTGAAAAAGTATAATTATGAAAATTGAAGATTCAAGAAAAACAGAAAGTGAGGTAGGGTGAAATAGAAAAACATAGAAAACATTTTACCTTGGTGAAAAAGTATTTTGAGAAAACATTTTCTAGTTATTTTAAATCTAAATATTTAAACTAAGAGTTCTTAAAGAATAGCAGTGGGGCCTCTCAGGTGCTTGACTGGGCACGTGGACCCACAGGGCTGCACTGCTAGGCCTAGTGCCACCTGAGAGTGGTTGGTTTTGAGGGACTGGAGATGGGAACACTCCCAGAAGGTAAAAATATACCCCGTGGGTGAAAGTTCTCCAAGACCTGAGAGATCCAGAGGTGTTCCAGGTCCAGACACGGCTGCTAGGAGCCATGTTTGGCCCAGGTGGATCTCTAATTCCTTATGTTGAACAAGCAAGACAGACTACACTTGAGCTGAAGGCTCTGGAATCTTCAGACCTCACTCACCGAAGTGGTGTTTTTTTTGTTTTTGTTTTTAATTTTTTTTATAATTATTTAATTTTATTTATTCATTCATTTATTTTAATTTGACCAGAGAGAGATACACAGAGAGAGAGAGGGAAAGTGAGAAAGCAAGCCACCAGGTCCCGTACTCAAACCGCGGTTGGCCATGTGGAAGTGTCCAGCACCTTAACCACCACGCCACCTGCTGGTCCCCACCGAAGTGGTGGTTTATGGCTCTTACTTGCACAGTATCTGGACCAGGTAGATGCTCCAGTACTTGGCTGAGTGGCACTGACAGCAGCAGGAGTGTGGGTTGCTCAAACTTGAGGAAGCCATCAATGCCCTCAAACTAGGCCCTGGAATGAAATGAAACCAGTTTCCAGCCAACGGGGATGGGGACCAGGATGTGCAGATTAGGTTTTGGCATAGCTGGAATGGTTCCGGCTTGATTTAAACTCTCCAGCCTTAGAAGTTAAGGAAAAACCAGCTGTTTTTGGTTCTCTGCCTTTGCTGAGTCCTTACGTGCATATCTTTTTCTGAGGTTGCTAGTGAAAAAATAAAGTTTTAAGTAATAATAAAGAAAAGATAGCAAGAGTTTAAAGGGTTAAAATTACACACACACACACACACACACACACACACACACATATATATAGAGAGAGAGAGAGAGCGAGAGAGACTTTTTTTAACATTATTAACTTTCTGAGGCTATCCCTAGAATGCCTGAAAACATACCAGTGGTCTTCAAAAAGTTCACATTATGAAAAAATATGTACAGATTGTGATTTTTTTTTAAATAAACTTGTACTTTAATTCCATTTTTCATTAATTTTTACATGAAATTCTTGAAGTCCTTTTGTACTTAGTATTCTTTTACTTGGACTTTGCATAAAGGAACAAAATATATATATTTCTTCTCCCTAAGTTTTTGACTTTCCGGGAAGTTCTTTCTGCAGTTCTTTCTGAAAAAATTTTAAAGACATCAGGAGGGAGCCGGCAGGTGGCATGGTAGTTAAGGGTGCTGGATTCCCACATGGCCGACTGCTGTTCCGAGTCCTAGACCTGGCAGCTTGGTTTTTCACTTTCCTTCTCTTTCTCCCCTCTTCCTCCCTCCTTAGTCAAATTTAAATAAATAAATGAAGTTAAATAAAATCATTATATATAAAAAAAAGACATCAGGAGAATTTGAAAACCCAGTAATTACAGATGAAAACATAAATTTCTAAGGTGGATTAAAACTTAATACAAACCTGGGGCCAGCAGGTGGCGAGATGATTAAGGCACTGGACACACCCACATGTTTGACTATGGTTCGAATCCCGTACCTGGTGGCTTGCTTTCTCACTTTCCCTTGCTCTCTCTGTGTGTCTCTCTCTGGTCAAATTAAAATAAATGAATGAATAAAAATTTTTAAAAAATTTAATACAAATCTGGACCAGCACATAATGTGGAGGTTAAGGTGCTGGATCCCACATGCCTGACTCTGCAATTTCAGTCTCGGACTGAGGGCTTGAAAATCATGCCAGTCACAATCATGTATGTGCTCAAAATCCCAAGGGGAGAAAGGAGGAGAAGGGACTGCAATGTGGGCATCCTCCTGGAAATGTGATTTCTCACTTTCCCTCTCTCTCTGGTGAGCACACATGCCTTATAGCAAAACTAAAAAACAAATCAATACAAATTCATAATTCCCACTAGAATTGAAGTAAAGAAAACTTATAACAAAATATAAATCATGGTTCATGCTTGGTAAATAATAAATTAATACAATTTTACTTAATTTGGTGTGGGTAAGAGAGATGGTTTCTCCCCCCCCCCCCCCCAGCGATTTTTTCTCTCACGTTGCCAGAGACAGAAAGCGAGAAATCATCCCCTGAGGGGGAGGCCACACTGCAACCCCTTATCCATTCTCCTCTCAGAATTTTGGGCATGCACACGCACCTGGCATGTTTTAAGCCACTGGTCTGGGACTGGAACTGCAGTTGACCACGTGGGAGTCCAGTGATGTGACCATTATGCCGTCTGCTGGTCCTGAGATAGGTTATTTCTTTATAAAGGGATGATTAGGGAGCGGGGATGATAGCCAGATAACTGTTGGCTTGAGTGAGTCGGGTTAATAAGACCAGGAGGGGGGAGACCAAGGTAAATGTCCAAATTAACAAAAGAAAATACTTTTCAATTAACAAAGATCTCTAGAGAAAGAGATCTTACAGTTTCTACCATAGGCCATTGCAGCATGAACATTATGACCATACTACTTAGGTTACAGCCTTAATGCTAATTTTCTGGAAGCCTTACATTCATACATATCAAAGCTTCCTATGTTGTATAAATAAGCCAGAGCTTTTGCAAGTTTATTACATTCCTACGTACCTACATCTTGTTTGGAAATATTTTATTTTCTAAAATGAAAAGGGACATTTTTGCTTCTACTTATAAAAGTAATATGTATTGGGAACCAGCAGTTAGCATAATGGCTATGTCACTGGACTCCCACGTAGTCGACCGCTGTTCGGGTCCCGGACCCGGTGGCTTAAAACTCACGCCGGGCGCGTGTGCGTGCGTGCCCAAGATCCCGAGAGGAGAATGGAGGAGAAGGGATTGCGGCGTGACCATCCCCCCTGGGGGGTGATTTCTCGCTTTCTGTCTCTATGTCTCTCTCTGTCTGTCTGGTGAGCGCACGCGCCCTACAGTGAAAATCTCTCCCCCCCCCAAAAAAAAAAAAAGTAATATGTATTAAATTGGTTCACACAAAACAAAGAACAAGGGGCCAGCATGTGGCATGGTGGTTAAGGCACTGGACACTCCCACATGGCTGAACACGGTTCGAGTCCCGGACCTGGTGGCTTGCTTTCTCGTTTTTCCCTCTCTCTCTGTCTCTCTGGTCAAATTAAAATAAATTAATGAATAAGTAAAATTGAATAAATAATTATTTTTTTAAAAAACATAAAGCACAATATATATGAAGGTTCCTGGACTAGTCCTGTAGAAATAACAATATAAATCGGTGAATATATTTCTAGAAATTTTTTCCTATACTTACATATAGGTTAAACAAACAGTATGGCAGTGCTGACCAGGGATTTTCACCTCAGTATAAAGTGACTGTTTTTCTATAATTCCATTGTATGGATTTCCATAACTCATTAGTACTCTATTAGTAGACACTTAACTTATTAGAGTTTTTTTCACTGTTATAAACATGCTGAATAAGGGGATATTTTTGGGTGTTAGAAGTTTTCTGTCTCCTGTCTGTGGTGTTGATTAAAAAAAAAAATCTAGGGGAGTATAAAAATCTTCAGAACTGTACATCAAAAAAAAAAAAAAAAGGAAAGGAATTTTGCTGTATATACGTTTTAAAAATAAAAACTTTTTAAAAAAGTAAAAAACCATGTTACCGGGCCAAAAAATACACGCAGATTTCAATCCAGAGTGTGAAGATGATTGCTTTTAAATCTCATCCTAGCTAATCAGTACTAAATATTGTTTTAAATTCTTCGCTTAGCCTACCAGGTGTGAAATCTTATTTTAATTGATTCTTATTACAGGGTTTGAGCCATCCTTTTATGTTTATTGGCCATTTACATTTCTATGTCCTACTTATAACCTCCTTCCTATTATATTTTGCAAGTATTATCCATTTGGAGTTTTTCTTTTAATGTTGAATATCCAAGGGTATTTCAAAAAGTGAATAAGAAAATGGAATTAGGGCTAGCCATGGCTTGGTGGTTATGTGAGTTGTATGCCACATGGCCAACCACCATGCAGTTTGAGTCCCAGACCAGCAAGCTTGAAAAACATGCTGGGCACATGTGCATGCATGCCCCAAGTCCCAAAAGGAGGGAGAGGCATGGAGAAGGGATTCTGGTATAGCCATCTCATGGGGGTGTGGTTTCTCACTTTCTCTCTCTCTCTGTCTCTGGTGAGCACATACACCCTATGGCAAATATTTAAAAAAAAAAAAAAAAAAAAAGATGAAGTCTTAACACTGAGCAGAAAGTCTGGGTATTCACTTAGGTATTAAATATTAATATACTTCAGAATGAACATTATATAATCATACCTAGTGAAAATATCTTGGGATTAACAAGCTTCATCATTTAATGCATGTCAAACTTCTCATTTTTTTTCAGGTGATCAGAGGACTGCTAAAATTTTGGCCAAAAACATGCAGTCAGAAAGAGGTGGGTTTTGTTCACTAAAAGCAATGGATTTTATTAAAGCTTCTCAACCCCAGGGTGTAAAACATGCTTTTTGGGGCTGGCTGTGCTGCTGCAAAAGAGTGGGAAATGTAGAGTTAACAACTACGCAGGCCAGCTGGTGGCATAGTGGTTAAGGCTGATGGATCCCACATGGCCAACTGTGTGATTTGAGTCCTGGACCTGTGGCTTGAAAAACATACCAGGGATGTGTGTGTGTATATGTGTCCGCCCCCAAAATCCAAAAGAGAAATGGAGAAGGGAATGCAGTGTAACCATTTTACACGAAAGTGTTTTCTCACTTTCCTTTATTCTCTGTGTCTCCTATGAGTACATGTGCCCTCTAGCAAATTTTAAAACAAATTTTAAAAAAAGAAACAAGAATTGTGACTATAGTAAGTGTATATCATCCAGATGTTCTTTTGCCCACTGTATAATTTATAGATTTTTACCTCATCATTTTATGGTTTCTATATTAACATCATATAATTTGTTACATTATGTTTCTCAAAACAAAATTTTTTTAACCTAGGTGATGTTTTTAGGAGAAATTGAAGAAATCTTAGATGTCATTGAACCAACACAGTTCAAAAAAATTGAAGAGCCACTTTTTAAACAAATATCCAAGTGTGTATCTAGTTCTCACTTTCAGGTATGGTGTTTTCAGTAAAGTCACACTTATTCTATTCTATTATTTCTTTTCTCCTTTAGTTTTCACGTTATAAATTCTTTTGTAGGTTGCAGAAAGGGCATTGTACTTCTGGAATAATGAATATATTCTTAGTTTGATTGAGGAGAACATTGATAAAATTCTGCCAATTATGTTTGCCAGTTTGTACAAAATTTCCAAAGAACACTGGAATCCGTAAGTATCTTTAATGCTGGTTCTTTTTTTTTTTTTTTTTAACTTTTTCTTATTTGATTTTCTAACTCATACATGAAACTTATACAGATTATAAACTTATTCCAAGGTTAATAACATTTTTATTCCATACATACATATTTTATTATGCATATAAGTTTTGTAAGTTGTAAATGTATATGTCTATAATATTCTTTAGTAATATGTCTGAAATCAACTCCCTGAAGCTAAACTGTCAGGAATAACATTCTGCACCTCTGCATAGTCAAACCCTGTTGGGGAAGTCAACCAAGTGTCTGTGGAGGATACACAAACTACTGGATTGATCTCCTAAGTAGTCTCACCTCTGTAGACAGCAGTGTCCCAGGGAAAAGCTGAGCTGCATAAGGTCATAGTGATATTTAGAAGGCTACTTTCTAATTCCTGTAACATCCTTATCTGCCTCTCTGTATTTCTTCTTAGAAGTTATTTGGTTAAATCTTTTTCATTTTCTTTTGATGTTGTTATGTACAGTTTCAGTCAGGACCTTCTAAGGCAACAGTGAAGATAATAAAACATTTCTAGCTAGAGTTTAAGTATGATAAAGTGGGAAGGATGTAAATTTTGGAATCAGATATACTGTCTCTACCTCCACACACAGACTATATGACCTTGAGCAGATTACAAACCTCTTGAACCTCAGTTTCATCATCTCTAAAATGGGTTGAGTAAATCAGCCAACATGTAGCCCCCTACAGAGATGGTAGTGTTACATTTCCTATTTGTTAGTAACACAGGACTGGCTCATTTTCATTTCAGGACCATAGTAGCACTGGTATACAACGTGCTGAAAACCCTAATGGAAATGAACGGCAAGCTTTTTGATGACCTTACTGGTTCATACAAAGCTGAAAGACAGAGGTATTTGAAATTTTCAATTACAAGATTATCTATACATTTTAGGTTGCATGTGATTCAGTTCAGTAATTATCTTAAGTTAAAATGATCATATTTAGTAAGTCCATTACATTACAGTAAACATTACAATGTGAAAGCCTCTAAGCAATTAAAAGTCATTTCCAGATAAACTAGCCCCAGTATTTTTTATAAATTTGTTAAATAAAAATAGAAGTTCCATGTATTAAGGTTGTTATATAATTTATTTGCCCTAGTGGCTAGATTGTGATTTTAACTTGGATCATAAATCCTTTATCTCGTTCTTAGCTTTAGATTTCATCAGTCTGATAGCATTTACAATTTATGCTGAATTTTAAATATTAGATTTTACAATTTGTTTTCTTATTATATTTATGAAAATCATTTTTGCCCATGTGGGCCTCTACAGAGAGCTTTACTTTTCAACTACAGTCCTAGTATAATAGTTCAACAGTCTTGTGCTGTCGATTACCAGAAAGTGGTATTTAAAGCCACCATACCTCCCCTTTGGGAAGAAGGAATCATAGTATGATATGCTTATAGTTCAGGATACTATTAATGTTATTCCTTGTAGTAATAAATATTTGAGAGAATAAATGATAACATGTATCAATCTTTAAGAATATAACTTAGTAATTACTTCTTTTTGAGAGTTCTATAAATTACTATAAAATATCTTTGGTAATTCACTTCTGGGGCCACCCCATAGCCTGATGGTTAGGGCAGCTGGATCCTACGTAGGCAACCATGAAGTTTAAGTCCTGGACCCAGTGGCTTGAAAAATATACTGGGGACATATGCATATATGCCTAAAATCTTGACAGGAGGGAGAAATGGAAAAGGGATTGTGATGTGACCATGCCCGATTGGGGAAATGCTTAACTACAAGTTCCTCATCGTGGTTTTCTTGTCAAGAAGCGGATGAATAGCCCATATTTAGTCTATCTTAGCCCATCAGAACCTAACTCAATGTTTTTTTTTGTTTTTGTTTTTTTTTAAGAGAGATTTTTGCTATATGGCGCTTGCACTTGCCAGAGAGACAGAAAGCAAGAAATAACCCCCCAGGTGAAATGGCCATACTGCAGTTCCTTCTCCATTCTCCTCTCAGGATTTTGGGTACGCACACACCCGTACCCAGTTTTGAGTTTTAAGCCACTAGGTTTGGGACTGTAACTGTGGTCAACCATGTGGGAGTCCAGTGACGTAACCATTATGCCATATGCTGGGGTCCTGCTCTATTTCTTTTAAATAGCAGTGTTCTGGTAGGTATAAAAATTATTGGGTTGTCAGGAAAGTTATGACACATTTTGGCACAGAAAAATACTTCATGACTTTTGTGACCTAATAGTTATAGGGCTTCAGCCCCAGGAAACAATGGAAAGAAAGACGACTAGGATAATATGAAACTTTTTAAACATTTTTATTTATTCATTCATTTATTTTAATTTGACCAGAGAGAGAAGGAAAGTGAAAAAGCAATCCACCAGGTCTGGGACTTGAACGATGGCTGGCCATGTGAGAATGTCCAGTGCCTTAGCCAACATGCCAACTGCTAGAACTTTTATTGAAAAAAGTGTGTATATTATATGACTAAGAATAATCATTATTTCTATTAGTTTTAAGTCAGCAAATCCTTTAAAATGATGTATCCTTTTATTTACAGGGGTACTCTACAGAAAAAAAAGTGAGACTCACCCCCACAAGGGGATGGCCGGCCATACCATTAATTCCTTCTTTTCCACTTTCCTCTAGAGATTTTGGGCACACATGCACGTGTGCTCAGCATTTCTCAAGCCACTGGGTCCACTCATACACCACTTGCTGGCCCAGCATATCCTTTTAAATCATATATAACCACAAAATATGTAAATCCAGGTTTTCACATGTTTGTATAGCTTTTCAGAATAATCTTGTCTACATCATTCAGAAATGTTCTTCCTTAGAATTGAAAGTAACTGAAAACAACATACAAAATATTTTGACTTTTGTTTTAAACTTTAAGTTTTCATTTAATATGTAAGCAACAGAAGATAACAGGATACAAACTGTTCAGTAGTTAGCAATGTGCTGCAAAAGGTAGTGGATTCCGCATGGTGCTTCAGACTGACCTAGTACCCAGCCCTCTTCAAGTGATCATGGCCACCACAGTGATTGCAAGAATGTAATGTGGGAAACCTCATGCAGAAGTACTGTTGACTATAAGGCACAATTACTGTAGTGATAATGTGCAGGGGGCAGAATGCAAGTAGTCACTTTCAGCTGGCACAGGAAATACACAGGCTCAGGAATTACATTGAGGAGTGACAAGAAATCAGTGCTCTGGAAACTGGCGTAATGGCTATGTCGCTGGACTCCCACGTAGTCAACCGCGGTTCGCGTCCTGGACCCAGTGGCTTAAAACTCACGCTGGGCACATGTGCGTGCATGCCCAGGATCCCGAGAGAATAGAGGAAAAGGGATTGCGGCGTGACCATCCCCCCTGGGGGGTGATTTCTCACTTTCTGTCTCTATGTCTCTCTCTGTCTGTCTGGTGAGCGCACACGCCCTATAGCAAAAACCTCTCCAAAAAAAAAAAGGAATCAGTGCTCTATGTAATTGGGCCCCAACACCTTAATAGAGATTTAAGTGTAATGACACAAACACCATGTTCTCCAGTAAACTGCCAAACCACCTTTAAATTCTGAAATAAACATTTCTAATCACAAAAATTTTGGTTTATCTACAGAGAGAAAAAGAAAGAATTGGAACGTGAAGAACTGTGGAGAAAATTAGAGGAGCTAAAGCTAAAGAAAGCTCTAGAAAAGCAGAACAGTACTTACAATATGCACAGTGTTCTCAGCAATACAAGTGCCGAATAAAAAAGCCTGCCACCCCTGCTGGATAGGCAATTTTGTATACTTTTTTGAAATATGTAAAAACTGCAAAACAAACCTCATCAGTATAATATAATTAAGAGGCCAATTTTTTTTTTCTGGCAACTGTAAATGAAAAAAAAATATGGACTAAACATAGCCCTGTGCTATATATATCATGGCCACAGTATATTGTAACCTTTGTCTAATCATTGATTTATTGTGTCACTTCTGAAATTTCACAGAAATGAATTTTATCATCTATGATATGAGTGAGATAATTATGGGAGTGGTAGAATTATGACTTGAATTATTTTTTGATTGTGTTGCACACAGATATAGTAGTCCGCTCTGTATATTTTCCCCTTTTGTAATGTGCTTTTCACATTGCTGCAGACCTTAGTTATATCCTAGGAAAGTGAATACTTCCTAAAATAAAACTAAGGTATTATCATTACCTTTTCTTTTATCTCCCAGAAATATGATGGGGGGAATTATTTGTCCTAACCATCCCCCCCATTAAAGATATTACTGTACTCTGGAATTTGAGCAAAACCTTAAATCTCCAGGCTTTTTAAAGCACAAAATATACATAAAAGCTGGGAAAGTAAACCAAAATCCAGATTGTTCTCATGAATATTCTCCTTCACCTGCAGCTCCCCAGTGATGAGCACAGACTAGCAGAGGCAGCTCAGGCCTCAGTTCATTCCTCCTCTTCCTTTCCAAGGCGGAAGGCAGGGCCTTTCCAGTCCTTGCGGCCTGCCCTTACCCCAGGCCCCCTGACCCAGGGATGGAGGCATTGAGTCCCACAGTGTGGTGATGCGGAGTGCTGGTTGTCACTGCCTGGCTTTATTTACAGGAAATGCAGCAGGCTTCCTTTGTAGAGTTCGGAAAAAGGTAACTTATATAGAGGTCTTATATGTTTTTACTTGGCCAAGTATTTCTCACATCTTTTGTTATCAGAGTACCATTCCAATCTCTTAACTTGCAGTTGTGTGGAAAACTGTTTTGTAATGAAATATCTTCATTGGAGGATTGAGCAGCATTTAATAAAGTCTATGTTTGTATTTTGCCTTATGTCACCTTTGCTTTTTTTCAGTTCTAACCTTAGGTATCCAGGGGAAGGCAGTTTTGGACATCAAGGTGTTCTCTACCCTAACCCAAGGCCAGCCAGTACTGCTGATAGCCAGGGGACAGCACAGTTAAAAGGATGATTCCACTACAAAACTCAGCATGCAAGCAAGGCAAGCCCCGGGTGTCCAGATAATGAAGGTTAGGTCTAAATGACTACACTGCACAAGGTGTAGGCTTTCTTTTTTCTTTTACTGAAGAGGGATTTTCACAGGCTGTAGCTAATAGTTCTTAAAAGTTTTTTTTTTATCCTTTGAAGAGGAAAAGTGTTCATTTAGTTTCTAATTATCTATCCTAATTATCTAAAGATATCTAACATTCTAAAGAACATTTAATTAGGTCTCTTTCTACAGTACAGGAAATACAGTTTTAGAATATTCATTGACGCAAATTTTATTAGATATTTAAGTAATATTAAAGTGATGTGTCATCTTTAGAGATGTACCCACGTGTTTTTCAGTAGTGTTACTATAAGCTTTTATGCCTGCTTTG